CCAAAAAAAAAAAAAACAGAAGAAAAAATCACAATTACTAGCGAGCTGGCCGCCGAACAACTTGTAGGGGTTTGGATAGGTTGCTAACTGTGCCGAGAGCACGAATCCATGTTATGAAGAAAACGATAAATAAATGAATTAAAACTTGCCAGAACGAGCCAGAAAGCAAAAAAAAAAAAGTGAATTAGAGTTCTTGAAACACTAAAACAATCAAGACTGTCCAGAAGGGACGTTCTGCGTGGTGATTCCGTTCTAGTGGTATTATTATTGGGGTGCTCTCACAATCTATACCAAGAGCGGCAAGACCGCCCAGACAATAAATTTTAATGATATTCTCGAAAAAGAAATACTTTTATGCCACCGACGCGGCACGGAATATCACCCATATCCATTTTTGTGAATTTAAATGACCGAAAGACGGCAGGCAGTTGCGATTTGACCTGGGGCTCGATGTATTCACGCATAAAATACTTCGAATATTCACCAATATATGGCCATAATTGTAGGATAACCTGAAAGCCAGTTGGACGCTGTTGAAAAGCACAATTAAATATAACGGCATAAAATATCCATTAAAAAGAGAGAGTCAAGGCCTCCCTCATACAACATTTTCTCACATGAACGAAAATTTAAATTTGATTCAAAAGTAGTTCGAGTAACAGCATACACAAACAATAACACTATAGATGAATCCCTTTTTCGAAAGTCAGTTACAAATAAAACAAACAAACTGATAGCTGAATTTATTATTATTGTTATTAATATCATCATTGCTATACCGCTGCTATCATTATTATCATTATCACTATCAATTATTATTATTGCTATTACTTGCGTCAGTAACAATTCAGAAATTGTCCCTACAATCCTGATCTTCAATACAAGAGCAGACGCCACTTCGTCATGCCTGCCAAGGGCACGCCGATGACATATTCACATTTTCGTTAAAAGCAAACCAGTATTTCCTTCACACTGCTGGTTTTCGAGATTTACGCTATTTCTGCGTTAGTTAACCCGATTTCTGCGCCGCCTGTGATCATCACGCTGCAAATTGTCGCATTTGGCATTTCTTGAAAGCACTGGTGGCTGCCGCTTTTCATAGGAAACATGGAAGTGGCACAATTCAAAAAACTAATTTAGCAGAGAAGTGACAAAACAACGGGGTACCTTATTAAGCCATTCAACCCGTTCGGTGTCCGGAAATTGAACCCAAGCCGGCAAATCTTGCAACTGGGCTAATATTACCTGCAATAATAGAATCTTTGAACAATCCGCATAAATTTGGCATTGGTGCAGTACTTTGGTACTGTCCCGTTTTTGCGGTTCGGTGGATGTGGCTGTAGCAGATAGGCAAGTTGTCGGCTGTATAAATGGAGAAACAGACTATGATTTAACAGCTGTTTTCAGGTGCTGTCACGGAATTTTACTATGCCATGTACCACAAATTCTACGATTCTCTTAAAGTAGCATGGGTTACGCTGTGCGCTGTACAACTCATCAAAACGCATCGAAGGAAAAAAAAAGATATTATGGTTAGTTGTAACTGCTTTCTGTTGTACCAAAATCACTAAGATCACTCGAATATCAGTAGAAAACCCTCAACAGCACCGAGAAAGTGCGGCCAGTCAAGCGCAGCTACGTCATATCTATCAGTTCTGAGGCGTTCGTTGCTGGTACACATTCGCCCATAAGCATTATAGAACCAGGAAAATCGTTTTTACGAATGCGGAACCGAACTTCTCTTTCTTGGAGTGCAGTTTGGCGCAATGCCAACAGTCGCTTCTCGCGTTTTCGCCACATGTACGACTTGATGCAGTGCAGAGTGACCAGCACCAAAATCCATCCAAACGAGAGCTGGTAACATCCAATCAAGTAACATGACTAAAATCGCAGAAAAAAAAAACTGTTCACATTACTTTAAGGTGTTTTATACAACAATCTTTTCACAGCCATATAAACAATTAGACTTTCTGTGGGATGAGCGACGTTCAAGATAGCACTGCGTAGCACCCGAAAAAGTAAAATCCAAGACATATTGCTTACCCTACCGACAATCGACGAAAAAGCCTTTAGGCGGTCACGGAAGTCCCCTACACACAAAAAAAAGCTTTCTTTTGACCAACGGGTGGTGCTACAGCTGGAAAGAACCCCAAGCACGCACTACTCTGGTCTTGGAAGCATTTGAGGTGAAAAAGCAAGGAATGATTGAAGAGAAACATACCCCCATGGTGGTTAGACTGCCGATGATCGGGACAATGAAGTTCTGCCAGGCCATTTTCACGGCGCATCATCGGCTGGCTAGTTGTCTCCAACAGCTGCTAAAATTTTATTTCAACAGTCTCTACTGACAATCAAATATACACCTCGTTCCTCCCTCTCCCTTCCCACTATGTATCGGGGCAAATAAAAATATTAGTATCCCTATTCGGCACCGAATATGAATACAAACAAATGGAGTCATTTCAAGTATCAAGGACCAGTTCGGTTCTTTGTCCCCAAAACGCCGAAATCAGGGCACTGTGCCTACAAAACAGAAAACCAATAAAAAAACTGAGAAAACTTAAAAAGTTATTTTGCCCAAAATAAAAACTTCTGGTTGATGCTAAGCCATTCATCACCATCTCTTTTTATTTTGTGCCAAACTGAACAAAATACCGGTAGTTTTCATTGGAATTTGAATTCAGTGAAAACCTAAACTCCCCAGGATGTTTCGCTAGCCATGGAAGCTCTCGGGAAATCGCGAATGGCAGAGCACACCACCACTACGCACAAACATTCACTAGCACATTTTCCATGTCCCCTGTTCTATTGCAAGAAGAAAGAAGTTCATACCGCGATGATGTGATTCTGGCAAAATAGCGGCACAGAAGCCTGTGCTTGTGGAAAATCACAGTTTGTTCGTTTCCTGGTAAATTCGATCCGATAATGAATCACTGTTGATCAGCGGATCTACGCAAACTTTTGATATATCAACTGATACTGACGGAAAAGTACCTTAAAAATGCCTGGCTCGATTATTTCGGGACTTCTTAGAGATGAAAAAAACACAAAATTACACAAACACATGCGGAAAAATATAAATCCCATATTCTGTGCTCAATCTACCTGAACAAATGTGGCTTAGGCGGTACCAAGAATATCAAGACCCTCTCCCCTTCCCCTCCATCCCCGGACAATTAATGTAAATAGAACTAATGGTACTACTAAGACGAGGCATCTATCAAATTGTTCACTTTTCGTAAATGTCCTCTGGTCTGACATTTCCCCCTCAATTCACCTCTTCGCGAGAAACTTGGACAAAAAACTTTTAGCTTCCATCCAAGTTCACGCTGCTAAAACCCAAAAGATCCTTCCTCCCCCCCCCCGCCCC